AAAACTTAATTAAAATTTTTAAAATTACATTTTAGAACGTTTTGGAATAAAATTTTTACTTCTCTATATATACTTACAACACGGGTAAAAGTACGTTTTGGAAATAGTTCGTTTTGATATAGTTAATGATTTGATCCTATTCTTTTAACATGGGCAATAATATGTTTTGGCGTAAAATTGGAAAAAGTACATTTTGATTTCCTAAATATCATTTTTATGTATCGAAAAGGTTCGTTTTAGATTAACCAGTCATTTTGAATCTCAGATTTGACCAGATAATTGTACGTTTTGATCAATTCTGACGACGCTAATCGATGTATCGATATTTTTTCTATAAGAATTGATACCTACCTAATTCGATTTTGGCAATGGTTATACATTTTAGATTTCCACGCCTCATTTACAGTCGACAAAATATATAGGAAGATGAAACAATTTAGGCAGTTTTACTATACCTACTCAAAAAAGAATCGGTTGAAAAAAACCATCGTTCATAAACAGCCCTATACAATACTTTTATTGTTGAGTAGGGAAATCGGTCGCTTTAACTTTGATGATATTAGTCAGTTGTTATTTATGACTTTTTCTTTTAGACGATGTCTAATATATATGTCATATGTTATCATATATTTCACATACTATTAAATCGACTGGTCACAGTTTAAAAACTTTTCCCAATACCTTTTCAAAAATATTAATAAATCTTATATAATAATTTTAAATTAATATATAATCTATAATATAATATGCATCGTAAAATATTCACTATATAATGGGCTGTTTTATATAAACCTATTTAATTTATTAATTTTTTTTATAATGAATCTAATGTCAGTTAGAATCAATTGGAATGTCATTAATATTTATGGCTTTATGGAGGTCTGGTAAAGATCGGAAAGGATAAACAACATTCTTCAAGTAGCCGCACAAATAATAGTTTATCAGTGTTAAAACTTGAAAAATAGGTGGACAATATATTGGCGTCCTTTTCCAATTCATTACTTCGGGAAACCTAAACTAACGTTTTACGATTTCCCTAAGTTATTTCGTTCATTTTTATTAGCTATTTAAACTTAAAGTAATCGCATTTCAATACAAGTACATCAATTCGAATAATTAAAATAATTAAAAGTAATATATCATTAAATGTATGGTTATTTTATATTTAAATAATTAAAACAACTTTTGGAAAACAGTGATTAAACTACTGATGACGATATACATTAAAGTTTTTAGGATAAATAGCATGAAAAACTAACGAGAACCAAATATTATAGTGATGGAGTTTTTAGTCAAACAACATTTAATATTGTATGATATTAATATTAATATTGTAATTTATTTTAAATTCTGAGTGAAACGATGAATGTATTGATTTTACAATGATGTTTTTTGTTTTTTTTTTGTGTCTGTGTACACGATTAGTAGTCGAAATAATGTTTCGATTATCAACTTCAGTATCTTCTTCGATGGTTAAGTGAACCTAGTTGGTACTTTTGGAAGGTCAAAATTTAAAATTCCCAATAGTTTTCAAAAGCGCCCGGTAAAACAAAATAAAAATTAAGGAAAAACGGGAATTTTTACGCAAAATCAGCTTTTGTCGAAATCGATTTTGTTTTTTGGTATAACTGTAAAACAAAATTCTCAAATATAAGACATTTTCACTGAATGTGTATATTAGCCTTTTCTATACATGAAAATATTTTCAAAAAATGTTGACTTGTTTTGAGCTGTTTACGGATATACTCAGTTTTGAACTTTTGTAGGTTTTTTTCTTATGAATGTCAATAAAACTTTATTTGTAAGATAAAAAGGCTTAAAATTTAATACAAATCTCCTATTATGTAGTTACAATGACGTTTGAAAAATATTAAAAATCCTTAGTCACAGTTTTTTTTTATACGATTTTCTTATTTTGATATAATTAAAAAACGAATGACTCTATAGATACGTGTGAATTTCACCGAATGTTTATTTTATAAATTTTTATACTTGATAAAATTTTCAAAATATTTTGTGGCTTTTTGAGCTGTTTACGGGCATTGTCAGTTTTCAATTTTTTTATTTTTTCTTTCTATGAATATCAATAAAGTTTTAACTGTTCTGCCAAAAAGTGTAAATAATTAAATACAAGGCTTCTGATATATTGTTACAATAACAGTTCAAAAATATTAAAAATACATATGCACGATTTTTTTTTATAAGCATTTAAAGATCAAATTTTGACAACATTTATCAAATTTAAAATTGAATAATTATTTTTTAGTTAAAAATGTATAAAATATTCAACTCTTATATCTAAGGATTGAAAATTTAAAACAAGTTTGTATGTAAGTAATTAATTCTGTTACCAAAAAATCTAAAAAATACACATCCATGGTTTATTTTTATAGACATTTTAGGTTCAAATTTGGACGAAATTATATAATATAAAAAACCTAGAATAACTATTTTAGTTATTTTGTTGTGATGTATAATATTATTCGTGGGTACTTGAAACTTCTCAAGTACACTATTATATATCTATGATAGTATCAGGGTTTGTTATTGATGTATAACGCGTTATAAGTACCTAATGGATATTGTGATATGATTAATTTGGAATTAATTATAGGTCAATTTTTTTTTTAATACCATAGATATGTATATAATATGTCTTATACCTAGACTGACATACCGTCTCCCCTCAGAATCGTTTTTCTTATACAATGATATTATATCATTGAATTCAAATTTAATATTATCGATTATACAGTGACCCACTTGTAACCTACTGTACAGCAGAGCAACTTTTTAATATTAAATTGAATGAAATTTGTAAAAAATGTTTACTATTTTTCAGGTAGTTTTATGATTTCAGTTTAACTCCCAATTTAATGATTAATAACTTCTAAATATACAGAAAAAAATAACTGTCTAATATTTGTATAATTTCAATTTTTTCAATAATTTAAATATTATACTTTATTTACATAAACTTTATTAAAAAAAAGTATATTTAAAAATGTATAGCATATTATGATAGGACCAACAGTTTGAATAAAGATTACTTATGAACAAATAAGTTGTATCATTAAGAAATTAAATATTTAAATTTTTATAAAAGATGGATATTTTTAAAAATTATATCACGTTTAGCTCATAATCATTTTTACATTATCTACTATGGAATTCCGAAAATTTACAGGACATATTGTAATAGTATTACCTATCAAATAACTAATTTTACTTTACAAACAAAAATATGATAAAATATTATAATTTAGTTTTTATACGTTTAGTTTTATGACACAAAATTAATTTAGTAATTTAATAAAAAATCTACCACATAGTTTTATAAAAAAATGTTAAGCATACTAATACCATTTTAAATTTAAATTGAGTACCGTCCAAATGATAATAATAATTCTTAGATTTTTTCTTATTATTTACGATTTAGAGGTGAAGTAAATATTTAAAAATATACTTGGACCATAATACGATGGGATTTCAGGCATAATTTGATTTAATACACTGTAAAATAAAGTTCCCTGTAAAATCTACCTGTATGCACGAAACACTACAATTCGTTTGAAAACTGATTTACAATTGTTTACATAAAAAACGTATAAAAACCAATTGCCAATTTTGGGACCCATATATAGACACGAGAAGGACTGATTGGTACAAATATACTGTTGGCGTGTTTCGATGACACCAACTTTCCTGAATTCAGAGCTTTTCCTCTTTTTTCTTACCACCTACGGAACAACACTCATCAATCAAATCCTTACGATTTAAGACCTTTACATGGTCGGATATATTTTATTTTCAGCGGAACCAAAGACGGCGGCAAAATGTTATTACAGTTATAACAAAATAGATATGATTGCCTTCAAAACATAAGTAGTGCCCATACATCACAGATAACTGTTTAAAAAACATAAACATTCCTAGATATGCATTTTATAAATTAATTATTAAGTAGGTAAGTAAGTAGATAACTAACTTGAATTATTGGTGATGATTGATGAATGAAAAATGAAATTAAACAACTGTCAGCTGATAATTTGATAAAATGTATCAAATAGGTAGACAATAACCTTAATTTCTTGGAATATCAGTCATTAGAATAATAGAATACATTAAAATAAGAAATTGAAGCATTCAATAAATGAAAAAATAAACTAGGTACAAAAGTAACTAGTTACTTATTATTTTTAACGAGTTAGATTAGATTATTTTACGCATTAAATTCAACTAATTAAGCAACTAAATTAATATAAACTAAAACTAACTAGTTAGTGCTCAGCTTTGTCCAATTTATTACAAAGACATTTAGAATAAAGGAAAAAGATATTTCGCAAAAATATTGATTATAATATTTTCATTTTGATTTTTTTCTGGTGGTTTTTTTTCCATATACCTACTATACATACCAAATATCCATTCATCTAAAAATGATAGGTTTCATTTAAATAATAAAATAACTTTCAATTTTGTACCTCATCAGTAAAAATAAAAAATAAAAATAAGAATTTAATAAATAATTGTTGTACACTTGTACCTATATAATGTAAAAAGTAAGATACGTTCAGTTTTACAAAATCAACAAACATCTTGTTGCTAAGTGCATAAGTGTTTAAAAAGTTTATTATTTGTTTCTGTGTCATAGTAATTACTCCCCAGTATTAGTTTGTTACGTCTTGCGAACATTACGAATAAATTTACCTACTTTGGTCTAAAAGTTAAATCATATTTTCATATTATAATTTATAATCTGTTTATTCAACGTTTATTATAAAACCAACATGTCAAATAGTGCAGCTTCGTCCGTTAACCAGAAACTGTCCGAGAATGAAATTATGCAAATGGTGTTTGACGATCTTCGATCAAACAGACCGAAACCGTTAGATGTTTTCGATTTCAATAGCTTGCCGGTTCACAGACGGTTTGTATCTATATCTAACATGGTGTGGACAAATTCTGCAGCCAAAGTAACAGAGTTCGGATGGAAATAAATGCCTCACCTACTTGCTATCGACAATATCCAGGAAAGTAAACAAAAGCCGTCGGAAGTCGGTGATGTCTTTAGTTTGCCGATGCACGAAAGGACTGTGTCGGGTCCTAACATGGTCTTTCTGAAAAATTCTGCAGCTGAAGCACTACTAGAGACCGGGTGCAAGTCTACTCCCAATATAATACTGCCGACTGTCGACGATATCCGGGAAAATGGATAAAAACTTTTGGAAAACTGCGATTTCTATAGTCTGCCTGTCGGTGCACTGCAAGAGATCTGTATTGGGCTGTTGGGCCCAATATGGCCGTGGGTGCAAATTGCAGTGGCGATGCACCCGAAATTGTATGGCCGTTAGTTACGTCCGCGTAGTTGCCTGCAGTTACCATCGATTCACCGTGTGCCGGAACGTCTACTTGATGACACCTGCAGCAGCTCCTGTAGAAGATAGCTGGATTGAGACGTCGTTATCCGTAGTCTCGTCGTCTTTGCTATGGTTACAAAAAGTAGAAGCCGACTTGCAGCTTATGGTAACGGATACGGTAACCTGCGTTGGCCGTAGTGATGAGCGGACGGACCCAGCGGTAACCGCAGACACACCTAGACGTCCACGCCGGTCACTGTGGAGCCGGACCAAGACATTTGTGGGACGAATGTTCTGTTGTGGTGCGATTGACAACGCAGACATATATATGAGTTTATACGGTTATATTACGATTATTTGGGCACTGGATTTTAGACGTCCCCTCCCCCCACCGTTAAAGAGCTCGTGTCGTCCTCGTTCGTAGAGAGTTCGCACCGCACTTTTGTAGTAATAAGTTTAATTAAATGTCGCACCTTTTCACTATTTTGTATACAATAATAATAATAATAATAATAATATACTATTTTGTATACAATATAGTGAAAAGGTGCAACGTTTAATGAGACTTATTACTACAAAAAAGTGCGTAGTGAACTCGCTACGAACGCGTCTACACGGTGGCTCTTTAACGGTGGGAGAGGGGACGTATAAAATCCTGTGCCCGAATAATCTTAATATAACCATATAAACTGTATCACTCCATGCCGATCGTTTGTCATAGATCCGCTGTGGTATTCATAGATGTATATTAACGGTTACTGCTGCCCTCGGCTAGCACCTTATTCAAATATAACGATATGAGTTGAAGTTGGAGTATAATCTAATTCTAACCCCAAAAAGGGGGAATGTTTTGTAAAAATGTATACCCATCTAAATTATAATTATAAATTATGGCTATGATATTGTAATAATGTATAATATGTAAATTGTATAATATGCAAATAATTGTATAATATATAAATAATTGTATATGTAAATAATTGTATAATATGTGAATAATTGTATATGTAAATTAACTTCAATAAAATTGTGTATTATGTTATATAATATTTGGTTTTTATTTGATAATATTATTAATAAACATGTCGACACGCTATTGTGTAAAATTAATTAATGCTTGTGGAAATTCTATGTATTTTGTTCAGGTATACTTACGGTTTTTTTTTAACCAGTGTAAAATCTCACGAGGAAGTTTGTATTAAACTATCAAGCTTTTTGACTACAGAAAAAAAAATTTTATCAACATGGTAACTACATCGAAAAAACGAAAAACACTGGTATATCATGGAAAGAATGATAATATGTGTATATCGATCTCCGTGGATTTGCATTCTCCGAATTGCTTAATAATTATTAAATTTATATTTTGATCTAGTTTGTTCTAATAAATATATTATGTTGTAAGAATGAAAATAAAATATCTTTATAACCAGTTCAATGTGAGACGTGAGTACACACGATGGACGACAATTCGATATTAAATATTAATTTTAACTTAAGACACTAATTATTTCAAAAACTTGAAATTCTTGTAATTATTTTTTGTACATAACTTTAAGTCGTTAAAAAACAACCTTTTTCTATAAATTTAAATAAATTATACTTGTCCAAAACTTTATTTTTATATATCGAAATACTCTGAATAATTCGGTTGCAACTTGTTTGCGCATAATCTATCATTTTTACCTGAAAAATCGAAACTCGTTTGCGCACACGAAAATAATTATATTTTATCTGTGGCGGGCACTGATAATCATCGATAAAGAGTACAGAAATATTATATTAAATTTAAAATTAACATGCATTTTTAACTTGAACAAGTATTAAATATTATTTATTAACAATTATTAATAAGCAAGTATTAACATGCATTTTTAACCACACTTATGAAATATGAATACGTTCACAGACAGTCCTAAGTCTGTTAAGGAAGAAGGAAAATGTATGTAAGTACTTTAATAATTTAATTATTAATAAAAAAATATTAATATACAAGGTATTAAGGCTGGATTGTCTAAAATCGAAATTAAAAATAAGCAATATTATTAACAACTTTAACTATAATAATTGTTAACAGTCACAAATACAGAGCTTATTCTAGTGATGTATTTATTATTTACTAACGTAGTATACAGGTGTGTATTTAAAAAAAATTCGAATGTTATTAATATGTTAGTAAAATTCATAATGGGACAAGTCAATGTTTCCGGAGATAAGTGCCTCCATCTCCCACCAAGGCATGGCAGATACCTACGGGTGCCAACTAAAAATTCTGTCAAACTATGTAAACGTGTTTAAACCTACAGTACCCTCCCACACATTTAAAAACCACCCAATGGCCTAAGCTGCCGCTGGTTAATTTATAAAAAAAATTCTTAATAATATTACTATCTGACCTAAATCTGATACAAAATAACATTCATATACAAAACTTGTTCTTATTATAAATAAAAATTCTTCAATAGAACAATACAATTTGATAGTTGTAGATGTTTCTCAGCACACATACAATCATTTCCAATCATATCGCATAACAGAATTATTCAGTAGCTTATAAACATTTAGGACATTTAGGTGGTATTATAAGAATGCTTAAAAAATAATCTTTACAAGCGTGATGACGTCATACAAAGTAAAATCTTAGTTACTACTTTCCCAATTTGAGATTAGAGCCTCTAGTCGTGCAATTCATGACTTCGGTCTTGTTATACGCAGAAGGAAACGTGAGGAGAACTACTTGGCATGTGAAAAGATTTGGGATAAGGGAATTTATTTCGCATAATAACCCATAGGACCGTCTATATCATACATTTATAACTATGGAAGGCTAGTGGTTAGTTTATTGAAGTAAATATTTTTAGCAGCCATTAATGTTCCGTCTTGACAGATTGCTTTGACCATTAATATACTAGGAAACAATGGAGTACCTATAGTGGTGAAAGGACTGAGGGATGATCAATGCGACAGTGTTTCAGTTCAAAGTGTACAACTGACGTAAGGATTTTTCTTGGAACTATCGAGGACAATGCAAATAGCACAGATATGATCCACACTTAAACACAAGCCTTACTTAGAAACAGCAAAAGGGATTTTGAGTAAAACTAGGCAATTTAAATACGATCGTTTCTAGCCATTCAATACATAAATCCCAGTGTTTAAATGGTTTTGGAAGATATTAAGCTCTCAATATTATAACGAAAATATAAGGTTAAAATAAATGTTATCCGTATTTATTAAGTTTATATCTTACAAACAAAACTCTCAACTAAGTTAATTTCGGTTAGTCAATTAACAAAAAACTAAACTGTTATGATATATCCCGACCTAGCACCAGTATTATACTTAAAGCAACATTTTCCTTTTGAATAATAATATAAAGACCGTCATATATATTAATCGAATAATTAATTTAGTTAAAAATTCTACTTAAAATTAATTTCTTAATGCTGATTATTTAAGTAAAACTAATGTTAATATAAAATGAAAATTCATTCTTCTATTTACACTCGTTTATAATAACGTATCTAACATTCTATTTTAATTGTGTTGGTTTTTTTTTTTTGAATATTCAAAAAATATTTTTGTACTTACTTACGTACGACTATAGTATTATATGACATGGATAAGTGTCAGAATCTGAGTTAATAGTAACGTTATACCAAATAATGTTGTTGAAAATGTGTGTTTATTAAACTCAGACCGAACTCCTATCAATGATGTTTTATAATATACCTGTACATGGTCGTTTTGTGTGGATAAGGAATCCCAAGAACTTCCGTGGCTTCTAAATAGGGTTCTAAATTCTAAATGTGGTTAACTGGTCTAGGGCCGGGCAGGAGGGTGTTATGACTACACCTATCCAAAGTAACGGGTCGACGAGTTGGACAGCCAAGTCCGACAGACCGAATGACACGTCGTTTCACGTCTCGTCGCCCAAACAGCATTTAACCGTTTTTAATAGACAGTAAACGCTGCAAAGTTTGGTACTATTATCATCATCAACGCTATTTAAGTTTCCTAGTGCGGACCTATAGTTTTTAAAGGTTTCCTGGCAAAACGAAACTTGACGATTTTTCTTGGTACGTGGCTAGAAGTTAGAACTCGGCTTGCACATACTCTGGTCAATTTTTCTTAAGTCACCAGCTGTACAACATAAATTATTATCGTTATATTGCTGTGTTACTTTTGACATTTTGTATAATTTTTATAATACATAGTAAATTATAATTTCGTCTTACATTTGACCGTCGATCGTAGGAAATAATTAGCTTAATTTGTATTGCTTTCAATTTTCACCAATAAAATAATATGATTCATTTCAAATCGTATATTCACATATACATACGAAAACTATAAAGGGATTATGGGAATATGATTTATTTAAATTAAATAATAAGTAACTCATCAGCACATTACAATTTATTCACTTTTTTCAGTGACTTAAGGCACGAGTTTGTAAACAATTTACTAGTTGTATAATAATTGTATTAAAATGCATTGTATTACGTATAATGCATTAGCTAATCAAGAATTTAATTTTATATTTTTCCATCACAAATTATTATAACCTTTAGTAAGTATCATTCTTTGATAATTCGTATAATTTGCTAACAGTTCAAGAACGTTATAATGTCATTCTTAACATTTTACACTAATGCTAATAATGAAAATAATTCAATCAAAAAATGCTAAAATAAAAAAGAGTTTCATATATTTGTATTACTACTTTATTAAATATTGTCAAAAATGAGTTCCTATACTAGCTATACATAAAGTTAATAACTGTCGATCTTAATACTTAGATATGTATTATAGTATATTTAAACAACTACCTTTATATTATATTAAGTAATAAAACATAAATACACATTTATTCATGATGGTTCATTCACATTGTTTACCTATTTTTAATTAGAGTGAAGGAGGTTAATGGATTTAAAACTGTGTTATTCTCCAAAGAAAACATTTTGAGACATTGAACTAGTTTAAAAAGTTCAATGTTGTATTAATGAGATATTAGTCACCAATTGTATTGTACATCACATTAATATCAACAGCTTTAAACTAACTTATAAAATACTTCATGAAAATATAGATTAGTATGTATTGTAATATATTTTGAGTTTTCAATAATATTAAACAGTTTAGTACATTCTCATTACACCAGAATGCTTTAATAAATATAATATTTAATTATTTTCAATGGTTTCAAATGTAGAGACGTAGGGATTAATATAAAATCATCTTGTGCGGATCTGAATAATAAAAAGGTGGGTAAGTGGATGTCGCTCTGCTGTACAGTAGGTTACAAGTGGGTCACTGCATAATGGATGCTATCAAATTTGAATTCAATGATATAATATCATTGTATAAGAAAAACGATTCTGAGCGAAGACGGTATGTCAGTCTAGGTTTAAGACAAAT